CATAGCGGCGAGATGCACTTTGCTCAGAGCGAGAAGTTTCCCCGACCTTCTGTGATCCAGTCTTGGCCAGAAGGATATCACGGTCACACAGGAATTGCTCGTCGACCAGCGTCTGCTAAGTGCACGCGACGTCCATTGATCCAAAGCTAGAACGCAAGACATTAATGGAGATCCAACTCCATCCCGTTCCGATGTGAGCGGGGCAAGGGTGCTTCCCCCGGCTAGCTTATCGGTTTTGCAGTTCCAGCGATTCCGCTGTGACCAGGTGCCCAAACGAGCCTGATGTTGAAGTAGCCAGATGCTATTTCTAGTGAGGACAGACACTCCTTGACTAGCTTTGATTGCAGAGATGGGGACCAGCCAGCTGCATGACATCTTGACCGTACGCTGTAGTTGCGCCGGAATAATGCCATCAGGCCCCGGGGACTTGAAGGGTTTGAAGGATTTCAACGCCCAGGTAAGGTGACGATCGTCCAGATGGTCCAAGAAGGCTGCAAAGCCCTCCTGAAGCTCCCCCAGTGGCCCTTATTCAGCAGAGTGATTTAGCGGAAAATGAGCATCCAGGAGTAGTTTCAACGACTCTCGCAGCTCGTTGTCCAACTACTGTCTACATTTCTTAGATACCCCAATGGAGTAGGCTGTTTTGCAAGAATGCGTTGAAACCGTGAGGACTCATGACAGCCCTCTACAGAACCGCAGAAGGCTCTCCACGAGGCTCTCTTGACTTTCTTCAACTCGAACTTATAAATGGCCAGTCCAGCCTTGTACAACACCCAGTCGTCACTAAAGCCACTTTTACGGGTTTTGTTGAGAAGTCTTCTGCTCGAAAATCTGATCCCCGTTAGCTCCGAAGTCCACCAAGGGGATTTCCCTTTACTTTTCTCGGTTCTCGGTGGAAAAGGAACTTTCAAGAGTAGTTCTGCGGAGGACAAGGAACTTTCAAGAGTAGTTCTACTAACAGAGATGAAAGCCTCGACGAGCTTATCGACCGCATTCGCAGATAGGATCGAATCCCTGTCGGGTGCGGTTGAAAGAGCTGATCCAAGCTTCCTGCAGTACAGGACCCAGTTGGTATTCCTGAAATTTCTATAGGTTTTGAGCTCCGAGCGCGAAGCGTTCAAGCTGAAATCAATATATTTATGATCGGAGAAGGAATGGTCGTCTAGAGCCCTCCATTCCGAAATCAAGTTAGCAATTTCCAAGCAGGCTCTGGTTCTACCTGTGCTGCTTGCCGCCAGGAGCTTATGGCTTTTTGCCCTTATACCAGATATACCGATGCTGCTTACCCGCGGTTCCTGGATAAGGACAACGTCGGCTTCGTCCCGTCCGACGAAGTAATAGATCGGTGGAGGCCACCTTTGATTGCTAGAGGTTAATTTGGAGGATCCTCATCCTCCAAACTCCTCTCCAGCAGTGCGAATTCCGTACCATCATCCTTACTATCGACCCCAGCCTCCTTGAACAGGCGCTCGAGACTGAAGACGGATCCAACATTATGTCCATTTTCGAAAGGGGTCGCTCTCCCACTCTCTTCCATCTCAGCTGGAGACAGCGGGCCATCCGCCCTGCCTTCAGTTGGGAGTATCCTAAGGACGACCCTCTCGAAGCCATAGCTTATGGCCCCCTTTGTAATGCTGAGAAGAGTGAGGAACTCCTTGTTTAGGAGTATCAACGCTTGCCGATATGTTTCCTCGGTCCTCTCCAGCCTAACCACCCTTCAGTCTTTGTTGGGAAGAAATGGATTGCAGTTCCGCAATATCTCTTAAATTTCGGTTGGGACACGAGCACGAGGTTGCATCGGGAGATCCGATTTGGCCACTTCCTCGAGCCTTGCTTCCTTCCAAACTTCCCCCAGCCTGGCTACCGCCTCCTTATAAAGGAATGCCGTCCGTTTTTCGGCACACCTAATAAGTTTTTGTATGCCGAGGTTCCACCCAGAACTTTCACATCTTGGAGGTGGTCCCGGGCTTTCCCTGACCACCTTCATAACCTTCATAAACATAGCGGATATAGCAACCACTACCCGCTTCCACTCATCATAGGAGATGGCTCCATCTTCCCTGCTGCTGTCGTAAACCCCGATCTCTATTGAGGTGGCGAGTTTAGCGATTTTGCTAAACATCGGTGCGGCTCCGACCCAAGGTTTCTTGACGAAGAAGAATTCCCCCTCCTGTGACCTCTGTCTCTTCGTCGAGGTGTGGGGCTCGCTCGGCCCCACTTTCCCGTCATTCGCGTCGCTCAGCACCCTTTTGGCCCACTCAAGTGTGCTAGCATGCTGATCAGATTTCTGATCAGCCTACTTGCCACCATAGCGCTCCAACATCTCGGCAGCCAACCGACGGTCCGACTTCAGCTTTTTAGCTGCGGTCACGCGCTTACCCCCCGGGACCCTTAGCGTTCGCTGAGGACCCCGCCGCCCCTTGAACTTAGTAGAGAGTCTTTTGCTAGTGCTGGTGATTCCGCCGTGCACTTCCGCCCTGCCTAAGGTATCAGTCGGCAGATTCCAGCCCACTCCCGCCCTAGTGCCCCTATTGACGGTAAGCTAGGCACCCTGGAACTTTTCTCCTCACCCTTTAAGGGGGACGATTTAGTACCCCCCAGGGAACCGTCCACTTTCGAAGATGTCGGTTTCGACCGGCCAAAACGTTTCAAAAATATAATTTTACTCAAAAAGTATATTCCTTGCAATTTCAATTGATCGATTCTTTATGTTCGCAACACTTCAGCCTCTTCATCTTATTTTTACTGTTTCCAAATTGTAGCTTGACTCGTCGTTTCGGGATTTTTCTCCAGAGGCAAACAAGATTTCACCTTCCTATGTATTTCTACAAAATATTTGATTAAAATCTATATAAAATAGCTTTTTTTTACCCGTTTTCCATTTGCTATTAATATTTTTCCTAATTAAACGTAGTTACGTTCAACTATTAATAATTTTGAGTTATTAGTAATAATTAAAAAATATTTTGATATGTTTCTTAAAATAATTCATTTACTTGACACCATTATGGAGGCACAAAAGTACAGAATTGAGTTTTGCCGTCGGCATTTCACATTCATGCTACATTTTGTTTTTCTCAACCAAGGAATGCCTTGGATATGCAATGTACGCATTTTCATATCAGCTGACGTTTTCTGCTTTCATGTTAAAGAGTCAATGTGTCAAAGAACTGATGCGATGACAAATCGTCACAACATTGTGTTGTTTGTAGAAAATCCGAGATGTGCCGAAAAAATAAACGAACGCTCGCCGATTGTCAACGTTACCTTTGCCGCTCTAACAGCTTTGCCAACAAATCATTGAAAATGTGTATGTTTATACATATATGAACGTGCATACATATTGACGCAGATTTTAATATATTTTAGATTTGTAAAATATTTTAAATCTACAAAAGCTTTGTTCCCACTTTTGTCTGTGTTTTGTCGGCTTGCAGGGTTGTCACTTTTCCCTTCTAGAGGGAACATCAAAAAGTTGTTCAACTTATGATTTCTAGCTTTTGCCATCGTCGCGAGAAGACGCTTGTAGGCAAACGCATGCTAGGGGAGATGTGTAAGACGTTTGATTTTATGAATGAAGCGACTTAGCTTATTGCATGTGCGCCAGCGTTCATTAATGAAAATGTTGTTGTGTTATGATTTACAACAAATTTAGGATTTGGCTGCCATTTTGATTTCTGATGCTGCTCATGCTATTTAAGAGAATTGTTGTTTTTGTACAACAATGTTTGTTTTTTTTTTTCTATTGGCTGACATACTTATATTTGTACGCAAATATGTATGTAGATTTGTGTATACATTAATTATTTTGCAATATCATACGCATATTTGAATACACATACTTACGTATATTGTGTGGGTGTGTGTGAGTATATGTTTTGTAAGGGGTTCAGATATGGAAGAGGTGAAAGCCTAAGGATATACCTTCCAAACAAAATAACATGCCATTACCATTTTTTTATTCCATCTGATTCTTTCACTTTACAGTATGTAAATCGAGAGCTAATGACGTCATCGAAATACAATTTTTGCACATAAAGTGCATAAACAAGCAACCATTTGCTTGAAAGTGCTTCGTCCGCGAAGAACTTTTGTTGGATTCGGCAATTGACACGAGCCTTTGAGCGATTGACAAACTGTGTGGGATCCACTATGAACAAATTTTTTTTCAGTAAAATGTTCATGCAATATTGACTGTATGCTGGTTTCACTATTACCTATAGTTATCTCTATCTCACGATAGGTCACATGACGATCTTGCAATATCAGTTTGCTCACAGCATCAATATGATTTTGGACGACCTTCACGAAATTTGTCTTGGAGTAATCTACGACCTTGATTGAACTTACCATACCAACGATAACACTGGTTCTTGATGGAGCTTCATCGTCAAAAATTGAATTCATCAATGCACTGTTGCTAAGTTAATCCACGTCAAAAGTTGTAAAAAATAATCGCGTAAAAATGTTCGCGACTTAATTCCATTTTTGGGATGAGATGAATATTTATAATATGAACTGTAAACAACACAAATAGGGCTTGTATGTCAAAACGTTCTGAGTAGGTATAACATCAAAAGTGTCAGACTTTACGATAAAGTTGTGAGTTGCCAGATTGCTGCACTATAGTTGACAAATCCCGAAATATAAAAGGCAACCTACGTACAATATGTACATTTAAATTTATATATTTACATACGAATAAAGGTAGAGGTAGGTAATTGTACATTCCTCGTATTTTTCGTTTCGATTAACCTTCCGAAAAAACGACATGTTGACAACAAAAATAATATTCATAGTAAAAAACTTTAAAAACATTGTCATTCATAAACGCAAACGCATCACCAACAAAGGAAATAAATTAAAACCATTTATAGTCAATTTTGCTGAGGTATGAGAATATTGATGTTTCTATTGGAATTAATATCTTCTTCTAGAAATTATGACATAACAATTAAAGAAAAAAAATTATAACGCCTAATATAATAAGAGTGGTAAACACATATTCCTGGTTCGAACGATGCTCGTGTTCGAGCCACAGGCAAATATTTGTTTTTCGCATTATTTTTCTTTTCAAGCATAATTGATCGGAAATATAAATATTGATGCCTTTGTGATTATCGTCAAGTTGTCGGCGCTTTTCATACGTTTCGCTTTGACTTCAGCATCAATATTAAAATTTGATTTCAACTCTTTGTCATCGTCGCGAGGTATGTTTGTAAATACGGATATGGTGATGCTTACAAACAAATGTACTTACATACGAGTATAGAGAGCTGTAATGCTCCATGCGACAAATGGAGGAATACAATTACTATTGATAAAAATTTCACTTTCACAGTAAATATGGGCATCATATCCGTTTTCCTTTAATATTATATATATAAATGGCGATGCGCCATTTTTATATCAAGTTTATATTACAGATTCTATAAGAGGCCAAAGTGGGATCTTCGAAAAAATAAAGAAATTATGTTCGAATAAGTACTGGAGTAATTTTTGAAAACTTTATAAAGTTGTGAGTTTACATCTTGTGTTTGCTCGTGCTTATGTAATTACTGCTAACGGTCAAAATGATAAGAAGTGAAGATTTGTTGGTGATAATGCCGGCATCGCTTGAAGTGCATTAAATATAGTTATTACCAGAAATGAGCACGACCACAACCAAACGACTCTCACAAAATGACATTGTGTTAGTGCGCTTACAGTGTGACAAAGCAAATCAGCGGGTCTATGCCGGACTGAATATATGCACGTGCAACTGAATGTATCAAAATTAATATTATTTCAGGTTGAGTGAGAGAGATTTGAAAAAGGGACTAACATATATGACATTTTATCGAGTAAGAATTATAGCATTGACAGACGCAGGGCTGATTTGCATTAGCGGGTTTGATTTGCATTATCAGTGTCATATCAATGCACAAAATTTTCTTACATTTAGCTGAATTGACCAAATTTAAATAAAGGTACAAAAACATAAACATATGATTTAAGGATAGCGTCAGAGGTAAGCAGCTTTTATTTTGCTCATTAAATTATGTCCAAATCTATTGACATAAAGAAAATTTTATATTTTAGGACGACCAGCGACGAAAATGTGCTGTAAGATTTGCGCCACGCTAAGCGTAATTTGCATATTTATGCAAATATATCTGTGCAACTGGCTAATCAATTGACACCAAAGGAAGTGCATGTAAAGATAAGAAACATGACACAAAGATATACATAGGTATATATAGTATGCATCTACATTACTAACTTTTGTGAAATTGCATAGAATAAAAGAAAAAAGTTCGGCCCTCGGGGGACAGCCCATCGAAATGGAAAGCTTTTCAACAGCCGATTGGTTAGCCACACAAGCATACGGTTTCATCATGTGGTGTGTAAGCGAAAAGCGGAGTCGCCAATAAGATAATGTGCTTTGCTATTTTGTACAAAAATACCAGCGCGTTCATGGAAATTCTTAAGCAAACTCCGCTCAAATATATAAGAGTAATTATTTATTTCTGTGGATCCAATGTTTATAAGTCTACGTAAACTTTGATCTGCATGTAATAAAAAATGTAAACACATGTGTCATGTGTATGAGAATCAATGTAGTCACAAATTTACCTGTGATGGCAGTTTGCGATTAAATGACGGAATACCATTTTCTTGTTGTAGTAATTTATTGTATCCTCTTTTGTGGGCTGAACTTCGATGAACATCTACACAACCAAAGCATTGTGAGGACACCATGAGTTTGAACCCACCAACGATTCTTTCCAATTTTTTCGGATGTGGGGATGCAATCTAACTAAACTATCGCATATTCTATGACGAAAATAAATGACAATTTCGCCAACTGTGCAGCGTCGCACGCCAAACAAACTAGCAACAGTCCTGTACTCCGCTGACGAACACAATGAGAAGAGTGCTGTAGCTACTATTTTTTCAGTTCGGATACAGCGCCTCATGTTGCTATCCAATTTTTCAATATATTTTACTTTCTGGCAAACTTTTTTGAAGGCCCTTCCATCAATAAGGCTTTCTTTAAACCTTGCTTCATTCATTGCAGGGACATCGTGCTTCCAAAATATACCACCTCAGTTCTTATAATACACAATTTATGATTATAATTCCAAATAAAAATACCTATTCACTTACCAATTTCCAAATCTTTCGTTCGTGTGCCTGAGCGATTGCAAACCCTGCTCGTATGGTTGCGTTACAATCAAGTATGGCTTTAATTGAGTTTCATTACCTATTAATGTATTTAATAATATACAAATTTTTGCAATAATTTTATATTGGTTTTCTAGAAATAACAAAATTGCCAATAACAATTTTCTTTTATCCATTTTGATTTTAGTTGTTTTAATGAGTAAACAGATTTTTCAATCAGCTGTCTAAATGCACAAAGCTGCCGTCTGTCACCATAAAATTTCAATTCGCATTCGTATTTCCTAAGGCGCATTAATTTGGCTCGTCTTTCATTGCTATTAGTTTAATTTCATATGTAAAATATGGACCTCCGTCCGCACCGAATTTTGCTTCAGTTAGTGACCGACGTGCCGCCCTTTCGTACTTACCGCCTGTATCAAATGAAAATTTTCAAAATTTATGTTCGTAGTGGCAACATCAGCTGTTCTCTTTTTGTTTCTATTTGAGCAATGTTGGTATTGCTAAATTTGCATACATCTAGCTTTTTAGTTACAATTCATAATGTAAAAGATCAAAACTAAAATGCAACTATTAAAAATAGTCTACCTATTTATAAATAACTGTCACTAATATGTGAAATGTAAAATTATTCAAAGCTCTAAGAAGTCGAAAGTTATTTTATCTATAGAAGTATAAAATAGCTCTGGTATATATTTGTAATATTTTTGCACAAAGAAATTTACTTTGAACAAAATATTTAAATTTCACTGAAGTGAAAGGTTTTCGTACGGCAACAACGAAATTGTGTACATCAGCTCTTTCATATGTCGCTGGCGTCAGTTCAAGAAGCTGGCTTCAAGACGGCATTTGCCGACTAAAAAATTCGCTGTCGAGCTGTCTTTCTGTTTAGAGCATCAAGCATCAAGGTATATGCGCATGAATTTGTATTGTATGAATGTACATATCTGCGAGTATAAGTATGGAAAAATCTATTATCTATCTATCTATCTTACACTATTTAACATATAACTCAAGAAAGGCTGAACCGATTTGGTTGAAAATTGGTGGGGAGGTACCCTAAAACCAGGGGACATATATAGGGTACTATATATTTCTTTACATTACAAGTCAATACAATTCATCAATATGAAAAGTAAAAAAAATGTATGTAAGAATCATTTGAATATTTTATTAAAAATTATAATGATAACAACACATACTTGGAGCTACTGCAAGGGTATAGTAATTTTCGTATACATAATATATATGTATTATATTATATTATACTGATTGTTGCTACTGAACGGGGCGGTTCTTTTAGGACGGACCATATGAAACCAGAAATGCATTTTCATATCACAACAGATAATCCAATTTGTTTACAGTGTTGATGAAAAATTCAGTTATAAATTAAAATGAGTGCAAAATGGCTCACAAATATTGTGGAAGCAAGGCCCAAAACAATGCATTATTTAAACGGCAACGATGAAGTTTTCGGTGGTGCTGTCTTACCACTGTCTGGTGATTGCCCTTTAAAGCCACTTTCCAGCAAATTTTTGTTTTTTGGTGTTGGTACACAATCAGTTGTTTCTCAAGAAATCAGGAAAACAAATCGCCGAAGACGGATCACTGTTCAACACGACAATACGAGCTCTGACACATAAGCTAAAACAACTGCATTTTAGGCTGTTAAAAAGCCCTTTAAAACGCAGTTTATATAGCCTGTCGTTCAGTGGTTCGAAACCTATTATATTGCTCCTTATTTTTACTCTTTTCAAGAAACCTGTTCTGTTTTTATCCGTTTTACTAAAAATACTACAGTATATCAATTCGTCACTAAAAATTTATCGAAATCGGATTTTCTAGCCCCGAGATACTGTAAATATAGGAAAGTGGAGAATTTGACCTTATAATAATATGGTCTGGTGTCCAAAATTGTTGATGATATTCCGAATAGAAAGGTTTCATTCCCTCTGGTTAACTTTTGTCGAATAATAAGGTCAACAAAATTTTTAATTTTTTTTTTCATATGAAAACTCATATCAAATTTTTAATGTACTTGGGTCACTTGTGATATCAAAAAATATATATTTCTTTAAAAAGTACAAGCATCAGCTACATTTAGAGAAATTATTGCTTTATATATAATTTGCCGATGCAAGTGGAATATGACTGGGTTCTTGTTTGGTTCAACCTAATAGCAGTGTCACATACATTATACAACATTTATATGGAATCTAAGATTAATCTTAATTCCTCAAAAGAAATCCAAAATAGTCTAAATAGCACTGTTCAAATAATGACGTGAAATTACGACGCTAAAGTTAATTTTCCACTCACATAACAAAAACTGTTTGGTCGTAAGAACACTTTCGTGGCATATTTACGATGTAACAATCATACATATATGGTATATGATGTACCATAAGCTTGTCCAATGCAATACATATACAGTCGTATAAATGAAGTTATTTAAAATAAGTAACGAAGCGCTAAGTTCGGGTGTATCCGAATAAATACATTTGCAATTTGTAAGAATCAAAGCCCAGGAAATTCCCTCAGGTGCTGGCAAAACTTAATATTAAAAAATGTTCTGAAAGAATTCATTATACGATGAAATCGTGAATTCATTATACTAGGGATATGAGGTTTAGACCAAGATAAAGACCAATTCCATTCTAATTCAGCACTAAGCCACATTATTTTAAGAAAACTTGTCTATCATATAGGGTAAAGTCTGCCGGATGTTTGAAAATCCTGATATTAGTTATATGTATTTTCGGCACAAATATACAATGCCATGAGTAAAACAAGTTCTCTCAGCTGCAGCCATTTCACTTATTTGCTGATAAACACGGTATAAAGTCATCCGGAAGTTAGAAAATCTTTATATTAGCTATATGGAGCAAAGGGAAGTATTGACTCGATTCTATCTATTTTTGGCATACAGACATACTATTATCAGGAAAGGATTCTCTCTTAAATTTAATATAATATTTCTCACACATTGACCGATATTTTCATTAAAAAGTCAACTATAATTACTGGGTCCACATAGTCGGTACCTAGTAGCTTGCACAGTTTTGTTTTGATTTGGACAATTTTTAGTCATAGGGTGGCATACTTTAAAGGCACTGTGCACAGTTTAATCCCGTTATATTAATTGCTTCTTGATTTGTATACTGGTAAGTGAAGAAATCAGATGGAATTTAATATTGTGTTATATGAGAAAAGTAAGCGTGGTTGCAGTCTGATTATGCCCATTTTCGCACTGTAACATAGGTATATTAGAAGAGTGTTATGTACTTGGTTGAAATCTGCTGAGCAGGTCCCAAGATATATTGTGCTATTCTGTATATACAATTTTATGTCTCTAACGCTTATAGTTATTAATTTATCACACTTTTAATAGTTTTACACAAAACCGTTATATAGGGAGCGGGCGCGGCTATTATTCTATTTCATATTATCGTAAGAGGGGTTAAAAATTGTCTTGTGTAAATTTGGGTAATATAGTTTTATACATTACATTAAGCTTATTAGTGGGCGGCTCCACGCACAATCTCTATCTTAATTTACGGCTTAGTTATGGTACTTTATAAGTTTTCGATTAATTACGTTTTGTGGGCTTGGCGGCGGTGCGATTACGCCCATCTACGAATCAGACCTAACTTTTATGCCAAGGTACATGTGAACTAAAATCATTATTCATTTATATATGTATAACCCTATATGTATTTCGATTAGTTTTAGGTGATATAATACAAACAACCGTTAGGTGAAGAAAGCTATTAACATATACTCTGTATCAACATGTTCCAAGAGTATAAAACACGTACATATATGAGTTCAGCAATGAATATGTAGCTGTCACAAAAAAACTGGACGTGATTGAAACAAAATTAATGTATAGTTTGGACGACAACATAAACAAATATTATCACAAAGTTCCTGTACAAAATCAGTATTTACCTGTGTATTAAATTACCATAATTTCAACACGTCACCATATTTAGTATAGGTATATTACGAGAGAATATAAAATGTTTGGCTCTCCACGAACTTTTCCTTTCCTTACTTTTAGTAAAACCAATATTAAGTTGGTGTAGTCTTAATTTCCCGAATTCGATTAAGATTATTGGAAAAAAATATACTTACTGCGTAAGCTAGGTAACAAAACGGCGCATATTTGATTAAAAGCGAACAAATATACACAAAGTTATCATCTTTTGAAAAATCAATAAAAAACCGAACGAACCTTTTACTGGACCTAATATAAGTGATATGTTTGCGTTTGCAATTTTTCGCTTTCTTAATCTGCAAGTTCTTCAGGAAGCAACAATAGCGTTTGAAAGTCAGTTAGTTGGCTATATGCCTGTTCAAAAGGAGTGGAAGAAGTAGAAATTCATAAAAAAAATTACACGCATACAAAACCTAGCGATATGAGAGTGCAAAACTAAAGCTTAGTAATTTCAATGGACTACACAAGTAATAGAATGTAATGACAGAACATGTCGTATATATATTCTCAGGCTTAATTACTGCTGGGATTAAATGTATTTATCAAAATTACATTCCAGATACCAAGATCTTGGAAATATTCTGTTTAAAAGTTACGAAATGAAACGAGTTTTAGTTAACTATAAATATTTTTTGCATGTACGTCAAAGGCAACACAGGTAAAAATGCGTTGGCGCAAATTTAGATCGTTAATTTTTTGAAAATTTTTTTCCAATGTAATATGTAAGTAGTAGAATCGACAATGTATTTTTTGATTATTAAATTTTTTACCATTTTTTTTTCAAGGTTAATTAGTTGGTTGAATCGACAACAACAGTACTTCAATTCGAGAGGTAATTTCTTGGTGGGTTTTGGCTATACAACATTACTTCCTTTATTATTGTTGAGTTTATTTTTTTTAGAGTTTTATTTGTAAATTTTGTATTTATTTTGTCCAATGTCAATTCAATGTAGTTGGTTAAATCGACAATATCAACTAAATCTCATTAAATTTTTTACCATTTTTTTTCAAGGTTAATTAGTTGGTTAAATCGACAACAACAGTACTTCAATTCGAGAGGTAACTTCTTGGTGGGTTTTGACTATAACCCATTACTTCCTTTATTATTGGTGAGTTCATTTTTTTTTGGTGTCAATTTGTAAACAAAATAGTGAACATAATTTTTACGTTCCGGAGGCGATATTTATTGCTAAGCAGTCTTTCATTCAATTAATTAAACTGTTTTTTTAAGTGTAGTGTCGTCGATGCGCCCACATACATCTAAATTGCTTACAAGGGGAGTACAGAGACAAAGAAATAGAGAAAATATGCAAATGAGTAGAACACGAAATGTAATTAATACTACAAATTTAAATTGATTTGAAGTTGATGATGTTGACTTTTCCAAGATTAATTTTATGTAGTTGGTTGAATCGGCAATATCAACAACAACTACGAAATAGGAATAATTCTGATTGAATATATTCTTGTTTTCTTTGCATGCGAATGGTTTGT